TGAAATTCATTGAGCAAAATACACATGCAAACGACCGCCACGAATTGACTCACTGGCAAACTTGCAAATGAATTATGCCTTCCGCATGCTGTCAACTGTGTTTTGTTCCATGACCACCAGGACCCAGATTTTCGAACATTGCCCGCTTAGGCAGGTGGCATTGTAGACTACTGTCATGTGCATCCGTCGATCTCAGGCACAAAGCCACCAGCAGTCAGCGATTGATAGTCGGGCCCAGAGTACTCTGTTGACAATCTTGCTCGAGCTTTCGAACATCGTTGTGTCTTTGCACCTTCCACATTTTTGTCAACTGCATCTTTCTGTCCCATGACAAGCAGGATCCAAATATCAATCGCCAGCCTAGGCAGATGGTATTGTAAACCATGGTCATATGTATCCGCCGATCTCAGACGCAAAGCCACCAGCGGTCAGCAATGAATGGTTGGACCCAGGGCACTCTGTTGGCAGGTCTGCTCAAACCTTCCGAGTATCAGCCCATCTTCTGTTCATGCAGTTTCAAATTCTTGGATTCACTTGCACTCAGCGAATAACTGGGCTCGCTGTTGAGTAGTCCTGACTGATTTTCCCAGTGTCGTCCATGTCTGAAGCGTTGGCACTATGGCATCCTACTCCCACGCACTTCCATGCAGTCATGCAGAAGAGGGTTTAGGGTTTAGGGTTTTCTCCAGAATTCAACTCATCGGGCTGTCTGCGAGCGACAACAAGGAAGGATTCTGGTTCAAAGAGGCTCTGGATGCTGAAATGTCCAGATTCGAGATACAAAGGTTGTGGGCTCCGTCGTCGCTCATTCACAGGACTGACTGAGAATGACACTGCGGTATGAAAACAGGGGCTAAGTAGCCGTAGTAGACAGTGAACAACCTAGTGACGGAATAATGAAGATGTAAGCGCTGTTGTCATAATCACGGGCTTTAACATTGCTAGCCATGATATGACGGAATCGTTGGACCTGGTACGGAGCTACCGATGACTCGTCGCGAACCCCAACAATCAACGGAATCAACTCTTTCTTGACATGCCTGCGGTGATGCCATGATAAGTAAGAAACCAGCACCATTGGTATTACCAGTCATATTTGTCACTCAGTATACAATAACGGTGTCACGGAATGTAGAATCATCGCAAAAGTGTGTTTTCGTGTGCAAAAGCCACGCTAAGCCCTAGTCCCCAAAACGCTATCAGGCACGAGAGCCTACAGTAGAAAGCCTACTTCAGAACCCCGAGCTCTAAGCCCGTGCTGAACCGTGGGCTTGAACGCGCCGAAGCCCTGTCTTCCTAAGGAGGGACGTATGTTCAGTGCTTTCTTCGGCTCTACCAGTTCAAGGCAACTGCCTCTTTTTCGGCAAGAGACATCGGCTTCTCATGCCCTCAAGCGGTCGGGATTTAACTGCAATGGCTAGCAAAACCGGAGCAGATGTTCAATCCGTGTTGGCGCACCCCTGGCCATTGAAACATGAAGCATCGGTGCGGGACTCCAGTTTCACAAAACCTGAATTCCACCCTTGCCTGCCACAGTTATAAAACCACCCATCGGCCCCATAGTAGTTCCTTTTTGGGGTTCATATTTAGAATCCTACAAGGATATCCCGAAAAGGAACTACTATGGGGCCTATGGGCATACTCAAAGCCTGCATGAAACCCTGATTTCGCAGAGCCGCGCGAAGCTGGAGGCGCGCCCGGAGCTCAGACTTCTGACGCTCCACTTCTTGCCTGGCTCTCACGCTCGTTACGTTGTGGGGATTAGTTTAGGGTTTAGGGCAGCTTCTGCTTTTTCCTGATTCTTTTTTGGCCCATCAGGGTTTAAGATCGATTTCAGGGTTTGAAAAGGGTCCGTTCTTCTCTTTCGAGTTTAGGGTTTACGGTGGGCCAGGTTTATATGTGCGTTCTGTGACAGGGCTGGCTGTAATAGGGCTACGTTGAAACGGGCGACCGGATTTATGCTGTCGGGTTCATGTACCTCCCCAGAGACTCCAACACCGCTTCAGTAAGGAATATACCTTAAGCTATAAGTTATAAGGGGATCCTTAATATGGTTTAGGGTATACATTCCTTAATTAGTTTGGGAGTCATCGGGTCTATAGGATATACTTAGGCCGGGAAGGGTCCCTATGGCGGCGCTTTATACGGCTCTGTAGGCATATGAACACAGCTCCAAGTTTAGGGTTTCGGTTTAGGGTTTAGGGTTTAGGGTTTAGGGTTTAGGGTTTAGGGTTTAGGGTTTAGGGAGCCTTATAATACCTAAGGTTTGGGCTTGGCGGAAGAACTCTTCAACCGGTTCGAGAAGTCCTCTGCATGATCCATGCCAGCAGGTACTTGCTATCAACCACGTGTTGCTGAGCACAACTGATGGACATGTTAGCTTGTAAGGGTTCAGCATTGCGGTTGCGTAAGTGGGAAGCTTAAACAACGACCAAGCAACTCAAACTACTGGCAGATATTATTGGCACAGTTGACGTGCCAGTAATTTCGTTACTGCTTCTGGCATCATGCCGAAAACGCGAACAAGATCTTCGAAAGCTCCCCTATACCACCATACTACACTACAGGCCTACAGTAACTTACCGCATAACTGGGTTAGGACTAGTCTGCAGGCGCAGCACTACTCCCGACACCACGAACTCCGAACTATAGTAGAAGCCACAAAGTTGGAACACCCTCATCCTGACGTTCTTAAGGTATCGGGAACCAATCATCCTAAACCCACGTTCCAACTTTCCGGGGCTCACGATCGACTTTCTTCTATCGATCCACATCTGATTGACTGCACCCTTTACGGAGACTCTGAAGTCTGGCAGTGTGGGTCGGCCTGCACTCCTCAACCAGGTGTAGGCGCTCCGATTCGAAGCACTCCTGACTGATGTCGTCGTTCTCTTAGAGCTGCATATGGAAAGCTAGCCGCTAGCCTATTCGATCCATCCACCTACATTAAGGGTGTTTTTGGACATGAGGGATGTCGTAGAATGCGGCAGCTGGCTCATGCAAACTCTGAAACCTGGCGCTTCATTCTCACACCCCATACCCAAGATCTGCCTTGACAGATGTCTCTGACTGCCCACTCTCACGGTGAAGGCGCGTGGCTAATCTACGACATTCCTCAAGAACATGGGGGCAAGACTAGAGGATGTGTGACAGAATGCTCTGCTTCCGGCCCTGCCAACTCGATATGGAAAACATGGTTCCGACACCCGCCGCCGAAATCATCTTGAGCTCCGAGATCTCAGGAACTTTTCTTCCTAATAATAAGCCAGGGCTCTGCAGTTCTCTGCACATCGCCTGACAAGGCAACGGCACAAAGCCGGAAGGCAACAGCAGCTTCAATTAGTCTAGGGCGCATGACCTGATGTAGGTGGTTTTCGTGGGTCCAGGAGTAAGGTCGCTGGTGTTGAGGTCCGAGGGCACCATAGGAATTCAAGGATGGAACGTCTTGTGCACTAGGCATTGACTCCGAAAATAAAACTCTCAAACATAGTGCCCTGAAGCCAAGCGGAAGAAACATGTAGTTTTGTGTCCATGAATGCACGTGTTCATGCGCGTGGGTGACAAAGTTTGTGCCAACATGGACATCTGACCGTAGGTTTGTTCCATTCCCAACTCTTAATCTGATGGCCACTTGACTGTCCGCCGACCTAGGTGATCTATCTATCTATCTATCTATCCATCCACCGGTCAATCTGCAACCTACCTTGTTTTTGTCATGCTTGTTATCTAGCTACCAACCTATCTACCTATATGCATATCCACCTGCATAACTTGCATACCTTGTGCATGAGTGTATCTGGTAGTTCAAGCCACGAAAACGACGACTGCAGCTGCATGCCGGTGCTCCTCCAACGGGGACGAGCTTGAACAAGAACGAACAGCTACATGATAGCATGTTCCATCACAGCATGTTATAGGGTTAGTATTGTGTTTATTCTATTGAAAACTCTGGGACCTAAGACTTCAGGAATATGTTGGCTGTTCGCAGCCGGACCTCGAACATCGAAACCCGCAGCCTTCAAAGGGACCCACAACTCGGAATAACAGCTGTCACATATCCGCGTTTAGGGATTCGGGCATATCCGAATGCGTCCGAATGCTTGCAGCCTGCACTGCATAGAGCCAATGAGTAAATGAAACCTTGCTCTGCTAAAGATTGAGCGGAAGGCGTGGTAGTAAAACCCACTCCTGACAATGACTTCAGTCAAGTCAGTTCAAACAGACCAGAGAACCAGCGCAAATCAATGTTCAAGTGAACATCCATCAACCTGAATTCCTAAATCACTCGAAAGGCCCTAAACGCATGCCAACAGCGGATTTTTCCAACACCCTGTACTGTAATCTGTAAGATGCCAGTTATCCGATGCTGTAACTTTTAGACTTTTCAGCTTGCCTGATGCAGAAAACCTTCCTGATCCTAAAACCCGTATCCCGAATGTAGGAATCTGAATGAGAACCTTATAGCTTCAACTTACAGGAACCCTTATAGAACCCTATAGATTCCTTAAAGGAACCCTTATAGAATCCTAGAGACCTCTTAAAGGAACCCTATAGATCCCTCAAAGGAACCCTTATAGAACCCTATAGATCCCTTAAAGGAACCCTTATATAGAACCCTATAGATCCCATAAAGGAACCCTTAACCCTCCAAGCTTTTTGGAGGCCTTCCTTGCGCGCCAGCTCCTCGCTGCGGCGCTCAGCATCGGCGAGGAGCTTCTGGGCTGCAACCTGCGCATGGAATACTTACTACAAAAACAAGAGCAAGAAAACAGTAATCATACTAATAACAAAAATATTAATAATAATATTAATAACAATAGTCGCAATCATGTAAAAAAATAATGATGGCAATGACAATCATGTGTTTTGGGGTTCCAGAGTTGCAGGCAACTGCCGTCTTGGTGGGGACTTGACCAAAGGCACTTGACCAATTATGACAAGTTTCATGCGGCAATCACTTCAGCAGGTCGACTGGTACTTAATATTCATGTTGCTCAATTCTGCAGTCTTGTTGTGGTACTGGGAGTTCGGCCTCCTGATTTGTTGACGCCCACGGGAAGATGGAAGTATAGCAAGACAACCGCGGAAGGTATAGCTGCGGAAAGGTTGGATGTATGGCAAGGGTGTAGTAACAGTCAGGAGAACCACTAACAAAGGCCTTGAGGCCTTTGGGATGCAGCCGTATGCAAGGGCCTCCTTGGCGGAAGCAGATCGGATGATCGACGCGAAGGACGTCCCGTCCGTGGCCAATGCCTCCGGCGAAACAATGCCGCGACTGCCACAATCCGGAGAGCCGAAAACCTGACACATGTCGCCCTGCAACATCCCCAAGCCCACCCGATCAGACCCTGTCTTGGAGATCGCAGCCTGCAAAGCGGTTTTCGACACAGGAGTGTTCTCAAAGATGCGCACTGAGGCAGAGAGAAAGCCGCAGGGCAATCCTCCGTGCATGTGGCTAGGCATCTCGTCGACATAACAACAAGCATATGCATGCAAGCAGCTTTGCATTTGCCGGATTGCTGAAGTCCGGGAAAAGGTTTGTTTGCGAGCACTCTCTTTGCCGTCCCCTCCCCAACGACCCCGAAAACGTTGGTACGATGGTGTGGATAAAAATAACCGGTTATCCGGTCATACATGAACCATCCACCAAGTAAAAAAACTAGCTGCTTGCCGATATTGAGAAAATTTGTAGCCCGAGACCCTCACATGCTCGCACTCACGATCCAATGCAAAGAAGGGCCATAGACCGTCGTTCACGTCAGGCACACCTCACGTCGTCTAAGATGCAAACATGCAAACACCTGCGGTCCTTATAATATACGTATGCCATTCCCCCAGAACTTTCCATGTCTGCTTCATTCTAGGCGGATGCATATGCACATCTCGACCCGGCAGAGTACGCAGGCCTGCTCCTTGCGGTTCAACTGCAGCTGCAGCTCCTCTTTTGGGGTTTTTCTAACAGCTTATTGTTCACTGAAGGAACCAAAACAAGGCCCGTGATTGAGAGGTGCAATCTTGCTCGTTCGCAATGTAAGATTACGAGGTGGGCCGCCGGGCCTCTGAAGTGCACATGGATCCCCCGACAGATGCTACGTCTACTCATAAGCACTCAAACTCTCACATACGCATCAACACATATTGCTATATTGCCGAGTGCGAGCACCTCAAATCACAACACAAGCTTCGCTATTGTTATTGGACATAATCTCATGTGGAACTGCTGCTCGAAATTCTGAAATGATGAGTGCGCTTCTTGCTCGACGATCCGGCACCGTGAACTGGCAGAGTTCAAACATCTTCCGTACCATGCTTAGCTGCTGTTGTTGTAGTACTAGTAATGGCAGAACTTCGTTTTACAAGCAATGGCAGTAGCAGAAGCCATAGCAGCAAGCGTCGTCGTCGTGGTATAGTTATATATGGGTCGTTGTCAAAATTATGGTCCCTTTTGGGGTACCCTAAATAATAGGTGCCGTATTATAATAAGGACCCAAAAAAGGACCATAATTTTGACAACCACCCATATAGTAATTAGTAGCAGTCGTCCTCGTCGTCGTGGTGGTGGCGGTGGCCGTTTCCAATCCGAGTAGCTTAAGCTTACATGCTACTACCATGTCATAACCAACTGATGCGCACAATGAATGAAAGCTCCTCCGACATCGCGCTTTGCTCTTGTGCCTTCACCTTCCCGGAAGATTCGGATGGCAAGGTCTAGATGACACGCTGAGAAGAATGGAACATGTAAGTAATGACCAACGGCAAGGCATCGGCAGCAGTGAAGGTGGCGGCGTTCGTCTACGTTGTCCGTCTGTAACATCATTCCATCGGGCTTCAGCATGCCACCGGTGCCTCCAGTGCACGCGCTCGGTCGGAAAGCTCCTGCAAACCGACCAGCGGCTATATGGCATGTCTTGGGAATGAGCGGCCGAAGCTCACCATGATTCCCTGCCATTTTTGTTCCATGCATCGGTCACAGATTTAGGCTCTTGGGATGTCCCTGCGCCTAGACTGTCGCTCGCACTGCGCAATCAAACTCCAAAGCCCCTGACGCATTACAAACCCAAGCCTCAAGCACGATAGTAATAGTGAAACCTGATCCCATAGACGAGCTCTGGACCTAAACCCCGTCTGCTGGCACAAGATACCCAAAACCGCCTCCGTTGGCACAAGATATCGAAACTTAGCATGACCACCTCGTATCCTCGCTGGAACTTCGGGGCTTTAGTTCGCTCATGCCACCAAATGCCGAATCTGACCTCAAACCCTGCCCTCTCAATCCAAAGCTTCCCTGCAAAACACATACGCTTCGTCACCACCGCACCACAATTCTGCCTCTGCTTGGGCCATACACTCGGCCATCACCTTGGACCGATCCTCGGACTTAAGCGACGACTTCGAGAATAGCTTCAACATCTTCCCCGCTTGAAGCGCAGGGCACTGACCCTGGGCAGACTTTGCGGAAGCTCGTTTGTCAGGATTATATGGTGCCGCCTGTTTCGCTCTTGTGCTGTCTAGGTGCATCGGACACAGTATATAAGTAATCGATTGAAATCACAACGACCAAGCGAATGAATGCCAAACCTCATGGCTAAGGCATGCTCAATCTAGGCACAAGCAAGACCACGCAGTCTGAAATCAAAGGAACAAGGCACAGCCAGCTGCTCTTCCAGGCAGGCAACTGCATCACTCAATCGGCCTGCCGCTTGATAGTCTGGGATCTCTGCTCGGTTTCTTTAATGGTTGAACCCTTGTTTTTCAGCAGGACTCCACAGCGAAGGGCCATAGTGTGTGCTCGGTTCAGAGTTTAGGGTTGCTGATAAAGCCTCCAAACCCTTGCCCGAACCCTTACCGCAATCACCAATGCCAATTATGCCCGCCTGAGTGGCGTCTCTCTCGTTCCAAGGCTTCGGCGGCCAAATGCCTGAACCAACCGATCATGGTGGCAATAGTTTCGACCATAGCAAATTGCAATAAATTCTGCACAGCACAATCCCTTTTTCAAGTCTTAGAGGCAAAGGCACTCGTGGTTTTATTTGGTAATGCTACCACGATGACGACGACGACTACTGCTTGAATGCTACTCGTCTTGCTATTGCAGCTGCTACTACTGCTATAATTCCTGCAGAGCCACCACCACCACCACAACAAAAACAACTGCCACTACCACTGCTACAGCTGGTACTACTACTACTACTACTACTACTACTACTACTGCTTCTTCTTCTACTACCACCACTACCACTACCACTACCACTACCACTACCACTACCACTACCACGACGAATGCGACCACGACTACAACGACGACGACGACGACCACGACGCCTACTGGGACCACTGCCGCTGCGCTGGTACGAGTGTCAATACTGCTCATAGTACTGATAGATCTTCTTTGTCTCATGAGTCTCATGGCGACGACGATTCTGTTTGTTGCGTAGCAATTCAGGGCTGCGGGCTGAAGTCTTCGTCACTCCGACGGTTAGCCTAGGGTGCCCACGTCTGAAAACCTGCATTCCCCAGTTATGCCTTGCTCACCTCCATTACCATGCGCCACCCTTCCCGCACGCCCGACCCGACGATTGTCGGAAGCCTCTCTCGCTGTCGCTGGGCCTCGCATGCTGCAGCCTGGCGCTTCTCAAGCCGTTTTTCTACAGGTTCTGGTGAAGCTACACGCAAGTATGTAAATTATTTCAGGTTCTTCGAAGATAGTCTAAGCGCGAAAACACACGCATCAACATGTCTAGTCTAGTCTAGACCGATCACTCACTGACATTCACTGACCACTCTCCCTTCTGCGGCAGGTGCAGGTCTGTCCTTGCGGCTGCTTTCACTTTTGCAGAGTCCACGGCCGCGGCTACAACCCCACAACCTCGTCTCCAGCGCGTCGCCGCTCAGCTGCCACTGCTGCTTCGGCGTCCAGCGCACGTGCCTGTCGCTGTGGTGAAGTTTTGCGGGTTAGAACAGGGATGAAGAACTCTGACTGCATGCGTTGGGGTCTGAGCGAAGGGGTACGGAGTTGGATTCAGTTAGCAAAGTAGCCGTGGGTCCTGTCTGCGAAAGGGCGCCAAGCGAAGAGCGTGCTCAAGCATCACTGAATCAGTAGCAGCAACTTGTTCTTCTGGGTGAGGATACGATTGGTCTGTTGGTCGAATCCAGTCTCAGCAGGGCAGCGAAGCATCGCACACCCGACAATCGCAGCGAAGCAAACACCCCAGAAAGCGCGTGATGACCTCCCAAAGCGCGGCGGCTTCCTCCAGTGCTGCCAGCCTCCGACTTGAGAGCATCGCAAGGCTGCTGCACAGCAGGCCGGGACTAACTCGATGCACTGTTCAACTTCGCAGAAGTTCATTGCTTCTCAGTGTGAGCATAAGAAAGAAGCTTCGAAAAGCCATCGGATTGCAATACGTAGAGAGCTTACATAACACTTCTACTTTGTCCTGGAACTTGCTCTTGCATTCCCTCCGTTTCGCATTCCACGATGGTGCCGAGTTCCTCTTTCAGCATTTGCTGGATTTGCATGTATGCTTGGGGTTCATGGACCTGAAGGAAACGTTTGCAGAAGGGCCGGCTTGGGGATTGGAGTTTAGTTAGTTGGTTTATACGGTCCAAAGACTCAACACACGCCCATGATGCCAACTATGCCAACTGGAGAAGCACAAGAACCGTCCACGGCTCCCAGGCAAGGTGTGGAATGCAGAGTCCCAAGCAGGCCGTACTTGCAACTCCCCAGCTAGCAGAAGGAACTGGCAGCATCGTATTGTAATCAGCCCTCACAGACACACAACCTTCATAGCCCATGACATTGGCGCGGTTAAAAAAGTGTGCCTCAGCTCCGCATCGCTTCGACGGCGCTCAGCGTCCACGAGTGCCTCCTGAATTAAATACTCCACAAGCGACAACCGCAAACCCTAAACCCTTATAAAGTACCATGAGTCCTAGGCCAACAGCCTTTGCAGCAGGTCGGCAAATTGTTTTGCCATGGGTTTGTTCGGCTGTACACGAACTGGTCGCGCTTGGTGGCTTCAAGCTTACTTTTGCAAGGCTATGTTGGTTCGACTGTACACGAACTGGCCTTGACGGCTCCGCCCTCTGGAAAACGTTTCGCAGTTGTCGCGCCGAATGAAGGCTGAGAGGGCTGGAGCAGGAACTGAAGAACATGTAAACAGCATCTTCCCACCCGGGTGGTTGTCAAAATTATGGTCCCTTTTGGGGTACCCTAAATAATAGGTGCCGTGTTACAATAAGGACCCCAAAAGGGACCATAATTTTGACAACTGCCCACCTGAATGAGAAGTCTTCTCTCCACATGGGGAAAAGCCAAACGCGAAAACGTTCCCCCGATTAGGAAAAGCACAGCTGTGGCAGACTGTGGCGCACAACATTTCGAGGGAGCCATGGGAGAGGCTCCAACAATACCATTGCTGGTCTCTTGAAAAGCTCCCGCTTCGACAAGCCTGGAGCATGGGAGGTCCCAACAATGCCTTGGCTGGTCTCTTGAAAAGCTCACGCTTCCTTAAGCCTGGAGCATAGAGGCCGCCTTGAACAGCTCGTGCAAAGTGAGGGGTCGGGATGGTTCCCTTTAAGTTTCTCATCGTCGAAGCTGAGGACTTCAGCATGGAAACCATACCGACTTCTTTATAATAGTCAATTCTAATTCTTCTGTAATCCCATGGTGCAGGGAACACTATGGGTGCGGTCAGCATCGGTCATCCCACTCCCACGGTCGCATCTGGCGCAGCTCAGCCTACCGTGGCCCTTACCACAGCATTGGTTCTGAGCGGCGGCGAGTGCGGGACTGTGGGGATGGCTCCTCGGTCAGATTGATGAAGGTGTTCTTGATTCCGATTACTTGCCAGACCTCCCTGTCAGGCTCTCCAGCTTCATTAGAGTCCATGCTGCTTCTTCCCTGCCTCTGTGCTGGGCTTGTGCTAGAGGCAGGTGGTGCGGGGGCCGGTGGCACTGGAGCCCCTTCAGTTTCCTTGGAGCGCATGCTGCTGCTCGCCGGCGCTTGTGCTGGGCTCGCACTAGAAGCAGGCCGTGCGCGGGCAGGCGGCGCAGTAGCCGTGGCTGGCACTCGGGGACCACCACCAGCAGAGACTTTGCGAAGCTCATGCTGCCCATGCGCAAACTGGCAGTTCTCGCCACGTAGGCATTGACCATGGCGCTGAAACCTCGTGCAAAGCTGCGTCTTCTGGAGAACTGGAGCAGCCTGTAGCTCTGCGAGTGAATGGGCAAAGGAGCAGTTGGGGCGGTCTCTGCAACTCGTGCCGTATCTGCACATGCGAGTGCAGCGCAGCTGCTGGCTTTTCTGTGGAGCCATGACGCGAAGGGAGGGCCGAAGAGCTTGAGCTGCCGCTTCACCGGAGAGCAGTTTGGGATCTGAGTCTTATAGTATAGGTCTTGGATCTGTCTTTTTCTGGCTTCGGCACTGGCTCCTCGGCTTCACAAAACCCAGGACACCTTCTGCCTTCAGGTCATTAGAGCTCCAAGGCATTGTCTTTTGCCAGTTCAGCCCCAACTTCTGACACAACAAACTCCATGCCCATGCCCTCTGAGACCTGCTCAAATGCTTGACACATGCAGATTCTCCTCTCCTGCCTCACCTCGCCCAAACTCTAAACTTTTGAGGGCTGTTGTTAAGAATTTGCCTGCAGCCGTCTTTTGCAAGATACTATCAAAGTCCGCATATCATTAAACCCCTTCTAAAACCCTTCTAATACCGCTAATAACGAGCTTCATCCGCATAAGAAAACCACCTCTCTTTCCTTTTCGCACCTTTGAAGCCCCGCGCCTCCGCCTGCGCGGCTCTTTCGGCCCCCCGAGCAGCAGCCAGGCGGAAGCCTTCGGCCTGTTCGTTCTTGGGTTCAGGGTTCAGGGTTTATAGGGTTTAGGGTTGAGGGGTTCAGGGTTTAGGGGTTTTTATAGGTCTGCGGGGTTTCGACTCTCACGCTCGCACACGGCCGGCAAGGCTCCGCATAGGCTCAGGGTTTAGGGTTTAGGGGCGCGCGTGGAGGGTTGATAGGGTTTAGGGCCTGGGGGGGGTGGTGGGGTTGAGGGGTTTTGACGCTGACACTCGGACGAACCCCGGCAAGGTCTGCAGAACTTAGACATTTGTCCACCAGAGGGTTTAGATTTTCAAGGTTCTTTTTGGGGATTGTACGGGTTCTATGAGGATGATTTTGGGGATTTAAGGTTATGGGGCTCAGGTTTGGGATTTGGGGCAAAGAGGCTTTTAAAGGTGCTAGAATTGTAGAAATTTCTGCAGCAGAGTTTTTGGTAGCTTCCAGAACCGCTTGCTCTTGTCTTTTTTGTCGTTGGCGTGGTCATGTTTCGGACATTCTGGATTTGGTTGTCGTCAACGTTGTCTCTTTGTTGCCTTCTTTAACTGCCCGCTGGCAGAGGGTTCGATTTTTTTTTTTTTTTTTTTTNNTTTTTTTTTTTTGGGGGGGGGGCTTAGGCGCTTTAGCGCTGAGAATGGGTCTTGCAGGGACTGCGGTTTGGGGTCGAGAGCCTAGGGCGCTCAGGGGGTGTAGGTTTCGAGTTTCTCGCAGGACTCATGCATTTCGCGATTTGAAGGGGCTCCTAGGGTCTTCCGCCCGTCTGGGGTTTCGGGTTTGGGTTTGGTTAAGCCTGGCTTATCCTCACACGCTAGGACGGGCGTTGTGCAATGTTCTTTAAGGGTTCAGGCTTGGCTTCTTAGGGAAAGTGTAGGCTCGAGGTTTAGAGGGCTTCTGTCTGATACTTGCAGTTGGGGCTTGAGTTGTTCAGGATAGCATTGGGTTTGGCATTTCAAGGCTCACGCGAAAATCCAGAAAGACGGCCTTCGCTTCAGCTATTCAAGGGAATACTGCGCTCAAAGCTGCGGTTCTTGGCGGAATTTCGGCTTTAGGGTTTGTAGGGTTCTATAGGTAGTAGGGTTTGAGGTTTGGGTTTAGGGTGCGGTTTAGGCAGTGGTGTTTGTGGATTGTGTTGGTCAACTCGGGTCTTGGGGTTCTTGTTCATGTAGGCCTCTTCTTCAGGTGTCTAGCTTCGGATTTAGGGTCCTGCAGGTGGCAAGCCTGAAGGACATCATATTAATTCATCAGAATGCTCGGGCTGGTCGGATCAGCCAAGCCGTAGCAGTCTTTAACCTAATCTTGACCACACAGCGGTGATATTATTATTATTATTGTTATTA